CAATTTTCACATAAATATGGGGGGGGGTGTCGGTCTAAGTGCTGGTGGAATAAGGGCATTTGGATGCAAAAGGGCAGTCTTTAGTAACAACTCCTGCCTTGCAGTAAGATACTGGAAGATCAAAGGCTAATACCCAGACAGAAACACACTGCTGCCTTGCAGACTGGATTATAGACATCGTAGATGTAGGGTCCAGCCCAAACAGAAAAGGGTTGGTGAAGGAGTTGCACCCTTGATGCACTGTCAGCAAATCGACAAGCCTGACGCAGACAAAGATGGTGCAGATAAGTTTGTTCAGCGTAAAGTCCCCTTGATCATCCGAACGATGAACACCAGGACACGGACAACTGCATCATTGATACTGTTTGCGTACAGGAACTCCAAGCAAAGGGCCATCAATTGTTTTTGTAGATTTCCTAAAGGCATTTGATAGTGTCAACAGAAACATCATGCTGCATATTCTCTCAAATTATGATGTCCCAAAACCCTCAGATGTGAATTACTGTTCCCATCAGGACTCTTCGCTCTCACTGTCAGACGAGTCGTCATCATTCTCGCTACTGGAATTTTCTTCCGCATTGGACCTGTTCACACATTCTTTGCAGCGGCAAAGATCGGTACAATCAATGCCTGATTTCTTGCAGGAACACGAGTTGCTATTGCATGATGTTTTTTTGCAGTTGCAGTGTACATACTTCTGAACGGCGTCAGGAGCAATTGGCATTGTACTCCAGTTCAATACTAGGTTCAAGTCCATGACCTTCCATCCATGTCTTGCTGGAGATGGTGCCAAGATGTGCTGTTTAAGAGAGCATTTATAGACTCGTGCCTGATAGTTAGCCCTCATAATGTGCAGTTTCAGACTATCTTTGTTGGGAGGCATGTTGGTGTCACTAAGTTGGCCAAACCGGAAGCAGTTGTACCTGACTGTGTTGACATCCGATTCTTTCCAGCCATACAGCTCACACACAAACCTCTCCAACACATCAAAAAGCTCATCAGTGACAGTCCATTCAGTGCCAATTTCACTGAATGCCGTTTGGTACGTCAGGGACTTAAACATCAACTTCAATGGTTTTGCTTTACCTTTCCCTTTAAAGCAACTGACAGTGTCACACCCTGTGAATGGATGAAGCCCCAGTACTGCTTGTGCTTTTGCCTCTCCAAGTTGTTCACCGATCATGGTGACGTCGATGAACTTCGCATTGCCCCCTGTGGTCATATGAAGTAAGATTCGTGGGACAAGTAGTGTTGAGGCCCATACAGCCAGGACAAGTACATCTGTATCGACTGTACGGATGATGATGGTTTGAACATTTGGAGATGACTGAGATGCATGCTTTGCGTGGAGAGCCATCCTGGTGTCAGCCTCTTCATGATCAGAGTGAAGATCTGGTTCTTCCTTGGCAGCCGTTTTTCCATCTTTATCCACAAAAATGTGGAAGCATTTATCACCACAGGTGACAAACACTGAAATACTCTCAAGAACATCTGGAGGACACTTCATCCAATCAGTGGCCAGGAATTCCAGCAGCCCCTCCTTATTTGTGCCACACCCAAGGAATTTCTTCATCATTTTGGGCAGCTTCTGGTCTCTTCGTTGAATGCGGATTTGTGTGTGGCCGCTTGAACTCCGCTTCTCTCGCTCAGACATTTTTATGGATGAAGTCATATACCTGTCACCAACAAAATCGACCCGCTGTGCATGATGTCTTCTTGCTGTTGTGAGTATCTGCTTAAGGATGGTGTCTGCAAGATCTCCGAATGTTGCTGGGAAGTGTTTCTGTTGCTGGATCATTGCCATGGCATCAACAATGACAACATCTGCATTAGGAGTTGATTCTGTTGTCACAGCTTCAGGCACGGCATTTATTATCTCATGCATGAGGGCAGCTTTGTTAGTCTTCGCCATACAGCCATCAAACCTGGCAAGTGCAGCTGACACTGAGCATAAGGGATAGGTCACTACATCTTTTACATCTAACCCTTTTTCTTGTGCCACCATTAGCATCCTTGCAATCAAGCGCCTGTTCTCCTTCACTGATGCATTTTCAAGAGAAATCTTTGCGCGTGGTTTTTTGTCAATGCTGGAAAATGTCTTGCCAGTTGGCAGACTGTGCCGATCAAACAGATCCTTTTTCCCCTCAACAAGTCGCTCGTTGACAAACTCAACCAATCTTTTGTCCCCACGTTCATATGCAGACATAAGGTCGGCCTTGACAGCATCAGGTGCCACCACACCTGAAGAAATGTTCAGTAGCTGTGCGTCTTCTTCATCACTGAAGGGATTGGTGAACCCATCTACTGTCTGCATCACATTTTGCACCGCCAATTCATCTGCTTCAACCCTGGACCTGTTCAACTCATGGTGTGGGGATGGTTCTGCTCCTCTTCCAGCCAATGCAAAGCATGCATTTGATATTGAAGCTCGAGCTGGGTGGCTCAGAATCCATCGCTGCACAGCCCCTTTGTTCAGAGTTATTCCTGTCATCCCCCCTCTGGTCTTGGAATCACGGTTGAAAGTTTGCTCGATGATCTGATCGCATGCTGTCATCGAAAAGCTACTCATAGAGTGTCGCTGGACTGCAAATTCCCCATCCATCAATTGGTCATAGATGAGAGGATGCGTTGAGGGAAGAGCTTTCATCTCAAGATAGTAAGCCGGCAAATACCTTGAATAGTTGACACTTCCATAAGAAAGGAACCATGGAATCATATCACGAATGCATGATAGGTGCAACTCCCAATTGCCTTCCCTCGTGGCCCTTATGAAGAGAAGCAACAACTCTACTATCTGAAGGTAGGAGTTCCAAAATGCACATGTTGCATTCTGGAGGCAGCATTTATTGACGTACTCCTGGAAGTTACTCATGAACTCAGCTACTGCTTCTGACATGATGGTTTGCTTGAATGTATCAGGAAAACCAGCTCGAATTGTCTCTAGAATCTTTTGTGCATCTTCGTATTCGCTTGTGGACAACTGACTAAGGTACCCCTCTATCTGAAGACGTTGCATGGCCTCGCAGATAACCTTATGACATCGAAGACTTCGATTATAATGATGACCTGACATCACACCATTGATTGATCCTTGGGCAACCAAACCAGACTCAATGGCAACATCTAAAAGGCCTGCATCCCGAAACCGCTTTCCAATCACCGCAAGGAAGGCCATCGCAGTGTGAAATTCACCAAGACGCAGAACTAGTCGCTCAGTAAAATCTGGCCTACCTTGCCAACGAATCTCTTGAGCTTTTGCATAGACAGCTTGATCCATTACAAGGACAACAGAGGACAGGTTCAAAGCATCAGCAAGGGTCAAACTTCTCTCCAGAATGGCATTTACAGTAGATCGCTCAGTTGGGCTAGCATCTATCACCGGAAGATAACCGATATTGCTGACTTCATGACTTACTTCACTCAAGGATTGGTTACAGCCAGTCCAACTAGGCAGTAATGTTTTGCCCTATAAAAGAAAGGGGGATGAGAAAACAAAAGACTCAACGTTACTTTTTTAATAGGACACGTGTACTGTATGTATAAATGTAGCTGAAGGCAAAGGACAGTTAAGGTCCTTAGTATTTGTATTGGCCGCTCTGAGGTGGGGGTATCATCAGGAACTCATTGACTTGAGTTATACATGTACATGTTGATGCATGACAAATGAAAATCTCGGAACATGTGAAATAGGGTTAACTGCATAGGTGTAGCCAGGTCATTCTATTGGAGGGGGGGGGTTAAAACATTTCTTGAAATGGGCATTCGCACATCCATGCTGGAATGTACATTTTTTTCTGGACACTTCACCTCCATAATATCAAGTAGTGGGGGAGAAGGGGGGGGGGGGCTGGTACAATCTTTCAATGAGGGTGCAATGCCAAGTGGACGATCATACACACTATCCGACAATATATGCTCTCCCCCCCAAAAAAAAAAAATTCAAAAACAGGATCCAATGTGACTTTTTTGCAACTAACCTTGTACTGCTTAGCGAACCAAAGAGCTTGGTCAATCATCCTGTACTGCTTCTGGACATCAGATGTTCTACCGAGGTCAACTGCTTGTCCTGAAAAATACAATTCATTGAGGTACCGGTGATAAACAGTATGAACTCTTTCCAAATAAAGACATAGCCTATTTCTTGTTAGTTACAAAACCAAAAATGCAACATTTAATTTCATCTTTTAACTTCAATGAAAGGTTAAAAGAGCTGTTTCAAATTGTCGTAAAACAACATTCTTAACTTTTCTGTAATAAAATAGAGACAATGCAGAAAAGTTTTAGTTTAATACCAGAGAAGTTGCCTTACATGTTGATATACAAATTTTACAAAACAAAACAAACAAAACAAAAAGTAAACACAAAAACAAAGAAAGCTTACCGCGAAACTGGATTGGGCCACACCGCTTCTTGCCAAAGTATTCTGGTATGTCAGGTGCTGGAGCATCAAACGTGCGCTTTCTGTTCCGCAATAGAGATGGGGCCTCAGGTTGCCTTTGAGTAGGATCTGTGCTGACTCGTTGTATGATTATCCCATTGGTGTTATGGGTGGTGCCTTTCCCTGTGTAAAGACAAGCATTCTCCAATATTTAATTCACTTCATTATGCATTCAGCTATGCTTGCAATGGTACAGTTTCCAATGTACATAATGCGTGTACACCTTATAGTTTGTTTTAAACCGTAAAATAATACGGAATTACCTACTAAATTACTTTTCCTTACAATTTCAGTGTTGCAGTTTTACAAGTATTTTAAATTCATTCCACTTTCACAACCATGATATCATTTTCCTTTTCTCTTGTTTCTTACAATGACATGTACGGTATGATTGGCCAAATAATATTTGTTTACTTGCACACTGACGTCAAGTCGTCATTGGTCATTTGGTTTATAAATTATATTTTATACTGGCTTTAATGAATAAAAAAGTTTATATGAAATCACTTTCCAATGACAAAGCAAAAACATTTTTTTAATATATTTTAGAACATGAATTCAATTAAATTAAAAGCATGTCTGTACCTGTAAGGGTTTCTTCTCCGAAATCATTGTTGTCCCACACCAATGTTGTAAACATACCGCTGACAAATCCCGGCGGAACACCATTTCCAAGTTGCAGTTGCTGGGTGGCAAGAGCGGTGTCGTGCTCTAGACTGACAGAATGGGAGACGCAGTGCCCAAATCCATTTAGAAGTTGCTGCAACTTTGATGAGCCTGTCATGTGACGAAGTGTCATTCCAAGAGCCAAGTGCTTTGGCATCAGTTTCCGTCCCTGTGAAGATAGGGAGACGATGTCCTGTGCAATGGAGAGCACCTTCACTTTGTCAGCATGATCCTGTACCTCAACTCGCTCGGTGGAAAAATCGTTATGCAAACCAGTGCACCATGCGATGAAGTTGAAGAGAAGTGGCGGAACAATGTCAGCGCTCTCAGATTCTGTCAGACTGCTTGCAGTTGGTGGCCACTTTGTGACAGAGTGTGTATTGCTGACAGCATCATTAAGAACAAGTGCAGATCTATATATCTGAGCAGCATCCTCATGGTCGGGGTTGGACGACAATACTTCATGTACATGTACTTGGTCATGTTGGTGTTGATCGCCTTCACTGCTAAGATTGCTAGTGCGTGATTCGTCACTTTCAGACTCTGAACTGTCCGATTCACTGTCTTGTAGGCCTACAAGTACTCTGTCCTCATCAGCTGGGCAGAACACAAACTCACACAAGGTTGATTTTGGCTGTACATACTGGAGTTCAGGAAATTTGTGCGTGAGCCTTGCCTTCAACTGCGAATTGCGGTATGTGGTAATGTCAATGTACTCTCTTTTTCTCGCTGTGTTTATGAACAGTTTATTGAGAGTGTTCATCTTTATGATCTCCCCACCAGCAATGAGCCTCCTCGTTATCACCTCATCACAAAAGTAAGAAAATGATTCGGAGAGATATCGACCAGAAGTCGGCCTACCTTCATACGTGCATTTTGTGTACTGCTTGTAGCACGAAGCATGGTAGCGGACTTCAATGCACACAGGGTCAAGGCCTTCGATTTGCAGCAGCACTCTGTGGTCATTTTTGGCCCTAGCAGCCTCCAACAGTTTGGAGCCATCAGTTTCGCATGTGACAAGGCGCTCGAGTTTTCTTTTCTTGGTGGTACGGTCAACAGTACTTTTACTTGCTAGGCAAATGATGCATGTCTCTGGGAGGACATGTTCCGATCTGCGGGAAACATCACTGCGAGGGGTTTTTACTCCAGACCGTAAAACTTTGCTAGGCTGGACATCTAGGCTGGACTCTTCTGAACTTAGGCCTGGTGGTGATTTACTCACAGCTTCTGCCTTTAGATTGCCCTTGTCTTTTCGTACGAGCGCTTGGCCTTTACGCCGCTTGTCTGTGAAACGTTGGTAGCACTTCCTATGGTACCCGTACAACTCCCTCTTGTTTGCATCAAATTCACAAGAAACTTTCCTTTCCACACCATCTATATCTTTCCATGTACTTACACAATCCACAATTTTATCCCAGGAAGCTTCTTTGAAGGCTATAACAGGTTCACTTTCAACATTTGTGACATGACAAGCACACACTAACTCCACATGACTAGGAGCAGCCATGTTTGATGCAACACAACCTCTTTCCCAGTGATACTTGTAAAATGTGTGTGTGTTCAAATACGTATGCACGACTATTGCTTGCATTATGAGAATGAGGTTGAACACTGATCATGTGACCAACAAATAAGCATGTAAAATTCTCTTTTTTTCACAAAATGCACCACAATTTTTAGTAGAACATGGACTATTTATTCTTTTAAAAACATTATCTATCATATTCTGGTTTCAAAACTTATTCACCTTTTACCTTGCAGCATTTTGAAACGATAATGGCCCTCGGCCCATAGCCTATGACCCGCCGCCGACAAAAATACCCTAACGGTAGTCCGTCGCTCAAAAATTCAATGAAAGCGTAGAGCTGGGTGAGCGTGAGTACACTGCATGTACAGTACATTGTACATGTACATGTATGCATTCAGTGCAGATCCATTATTTCATCATCGTCATGCTTGTTGGAACGGGGCCAAACACGTGGCGCGTAGTCTTGTGCTCAAGACGCTTGGTCTTCTATAACAAATCCCATTGACTTTGTGCACGATTTTTCTCGTCAGCATATTAGTCATAAAGCACACTCATTATGACATTCAAACTTAACAAGTCAAAGAACATATAGCAAAGGTCGTTGGTGAAGATGGAAAATGATGACGTCATCATGCGATTTATTATGAAATTTTGAATATTTATTTAAGCTCATTGACTTTGTACACAGTTTTTCAACTTTGTGCCCTTCTTTTTCAAGGGACCTTTTTGGCCACTTTTCAATGGTGCATCTTCATCAAAGTAACACCAAGCAAAGACGGAATGCTAAGATTGTGCCAGAACAATGATGGCATGATGACGTCATCAGGTGTCACGTGACAAGCAATTAAACTTTGATTTTTTTTTATCTTTAAAAATCTATATAAAATCAATAATGAGATCTGTCGTCTTGCTGTTTGCGGAAAGTGATAGAGCAAATTAAGGTCTTTATTTTGTAACGTGTACGTAAAATCACATGACCTTTGCTTCCGGTCGAAACCGGAAGTGGCTTATTATTGGCTTATTATTTAAAATTGGAAATAGATATGAACTTGCTTTCAACGGCGTTAGTCTCTGGCCAGACAATATTCTTCAAAACTTGTACCGTTGACGTCATGAAATTCTCGACCGCCCTCTAGTGGCAAGTTTAAGAATGTCCAAAATGCATTTTGAATAGATGTCTGTGGCGGAGTGTTTTGTAATCGCCTGAAAACTGGTATATATATATAATGACCTTCATGCAAACAACACATGTGTGAAGTTTGAAGTTGATGACGTCATCAGACCGGAAGTTACAACGAAAAGACCTTCTATTCTTCAAAAATAAATCAATCCTGAGAGATATAATTGTGAATTGTCCATTGAATGATAGCTTAAACATTGGCGTCAATTGTGCCAGGTTCGTGGCTTGTCTAATTGTTCACACACGAGACCCGCCGCCGACAAAAATACCCTTATAGTAGTCCGTCGCTCAAAAATTCAATGAAAGCATAGCGCGTCGCCGTTCGGCCACGGCATAGGGCGCGCACGCCCGCTGAACGTAGCCTGGCTTTTCGTTTGCTTTTCGCGGGCGTACATGTACATGTCCAGTTATTAGTACGTAGACTCTGAGAAAGTCTGAGGAGAAGTACTGTTGTTACGCGTGTACGACTAAAATAGATCGCTGCGCGCGTCTTCGTCTTGAAAAAAAGTCAAGACACAAAAGCGCGCATGCGCAGTTGATGTGTCATAACCGGGGTTAAGCTTGTACACTGCATGCACACTGTGATTCGGAAAGTAGAATGTGTGCACTTACGCTGTTCGTGGCGCGGCCCGGAAAGGCATCCTCGTACGAACTCTGAGCGGCGATTTGGCGAATATAAATGTTTGTTTCCGTTTATAAATTTACCTTCGGATAGTAAGTATTATTTCGGGTTTTTTTTCAGGCAAATGGTATTGGGAGTTCATGCTGAAAACAGCTTACCATTTAAAATGGCTCCAGTTATGATCGGACACATGGATACATGCAAATCAATGAACATGCATCCTCTCCGAATAACATCAGTATTCACTACCCATATTCACTTTTTCTACGTTTAAACAAAAATAAATACATACTGACATTGATCACTACCTAAACGAAACATTGATCACTACCTAAACGAAACATTTTTAAACAAAATGATTAATTTTATCAGACAGTTTAAATTTCGTTATTCTTTGTAAATATTCATAACTTAACTGGACACTGTTTCATAAAATAGTTGTCTACCCGACCACTCTGCGTTTGTAACAACAAACGCTAAGCTCTAGTTATTATTATTATTACTTACCCAAGAAACCGGCTGGGCGAGTCGGTTACTTGGGCCAGGCTCGAGTAAGCGCGATAAGTCACGTGAGAGGTAAATCGAACGCTGTCGCGCTTGCACGAGTAAGCGCGGGGAAAGTAATCGAACGCACTAATTATGACTTTCAGATGGACACTGCCATGCATGCGCTGCCGAAACAGTGTTTTTCCTCAGTGGGCGGGACCTTGGGGCTGGGGCGGGCACCAACTTTTCGAAGGGGCCACTAAGGGCCGATCTGCCGAAATCGCTCCCAAATAATTATTTAGGGGGCCATCATCCAATTACAGCAATTTGGAAAATAAAAATGGCAGGGGTGTGAATGGGGTTTGGCAGGAGCTGGTACTCAAGGAATGCCATGGGGTTGCCTCATAGCTGGGCAAGACACATACAGGCTGCAAATGTTCAGGCCTGATATCGACCTCAGGTTATTGTTCTTCTCGATTCTTTAATAAAATATGAGTTATGGATCCTTAAAAGTGGTTTCGGGGTAAATAGCATAACTTGGCTATAAAAGTAAAATAATGCAGAATGGTGAGTTATTACCATTTGTATGCCCTCGTTGTTTTTTACTTGAAGAGCATTTTGTGGGTTATGAACTTGAAGGTTTGTTGAAAGAAAAGAGGGGCGATGGCCGGCATGACTACTTTTAGGGTTGATCATTTTGGAATGGAATTGTCTCCCGGTGTGACAAACACCTTGCAGAGTATGAGTATATTAAATATGTTTCGGAAGTGCGCATAATTATCATTGAGGTCTATGGGAGTCAATTTACTGGTCTGACCTAAAGGATTTTCAAAATGGACGCTGCCACGCATGCCACGGTAGTGGTTTTTTTTTTGGAAGGGACTTTGGGGCTGGGAGGGGGCACTAGCTTGTCCATGGGACCAAGAAGGGCCGATGCGCAAAAAAATGCTCCCAAATCTTCTGGGGGCTGTAGGCCATCAGCGGATTAGAGCAGTTTCGAGAAAAAAAGGGGCGTGGGTAAATGGGGGTTGGGACAAACTGGAATTCAATTAACGCCATTGAGACGCCCTACAGCCGGGCAAGGCGCATACGGGATGCCTATGAAAAGAAAAATTTCAGCTAATAGGTAAACATTTCGGTAAACAGGCCTAAAATTGCATAAGCGGGCCAAATTTCGTTTTGTATCCCTTACAGAAATCTCCTATGTATTTTCGATGGGGAATTTTGGGAGTTTTCCCATTTGCTTTTTCCAATGGGAAAATACATGTGTGTGTTTTTTTCCCATGCATGGTTTCCTATCTTTTCTCAAAAAGATTCCTAATTGCTCTATGGTATGTTTCAATAACGACTTTCTTAATACATTTTAACCCAGTGTGTGTTTTGTGCTATTCACCGAATTGGTAAAGCCCATCACGGAACTCCGATGGGGGTTGTTCTACGTATTAGGAGTGGCTTATGCACTCTGTGACCAATGTCTACATTATTGCTCCCATACCACTTGTCAAGTTGTACCGCATTATCACAGCGTACCCGATTTATTTTCTCATGGTGACATGAAATCCCCATGGTGTTCCCATGGTGTCCATAAAATCCCCATGGTGTTCCCATGGAGCTCATAAAATCCCCATGGTGTTCCCATGTTGTCCATGCAATCTCCATGGTGTCCCCATGGTGTTCCCATGGTGTTCATAATTTCCACGTGGTTTTCCCATGATGTCCATAAAATCCCCATGGTGTTCCCGCGGTGTCAATAAAATCCCCATTGTGTTCCCATGTTGTCCATGTAATCTCCATGGTGTCCCCATGGTGTTCCCATGGTGTTCATAATTTCCACGTGGTTTTCCCATGATGTCCATAAAATCCCCATGGTGTTTCCGCGGTGTCAATAAAATCACCATTGTGTTCCCATGTTGTCCATGCAATCTCCATGGTGTTCCCATAGGTTTCCCATGATGAGCATAAAATCTCCCATGGTGATCATTTTAACTTACATGGTGTCCTTGATGACCCCATGGGTTTCCCATGGGAATCCCATATAAAAGTAAGCAATAACTTGTGAATAAAGTATGCATATTACTTGAAAGTATAACTAGTGCATTATATGAAATTTATTCCTATGTTATTTTTAATAAATGAGTTAACAAAACATCTTTTTAGCATATTGCCGTTATTCGGTATGTAGGTGCATTTAGATACCAAACACTTACCAAAGTCAACACCAGAGGGAAGAAACCATCCATTTGGACGGATACAATAGTACGTCGAAACTGATGATGAATTACAAAAATCTGTAAAAGAAAAAAGGACCAGGGAGATTACCAGCTTGTCGTGTTGTACCATTAGTAAATTTCTTCTGCTGTATTTATTCTTTGCACATGGATGTGGGCAAAAAGACATCCGCAATACCATCGAAAAGAAATTGATAGTGTTTTTTTTTATTCTGCATTTCCGAGGAACGCTTTTGGATAATGGATGAGATAATTGCACTGTCCCCCCCCCCTTATCCCTCTTCTTTAGAATTTACAGTGTCGGTCATGGTCAGAAAAAAACAACACATTTTTGGGTACCATCGTTCCTCTTTAAAGGTTTGAATGGTGGAATGATACTAAAACAAGATAAGTAAAAAGAGATGTATACATATGGTGCTACCGCAAACTTATCTTATCTTATTGTTCCTCTTTATTTGAATAAAGCCCA